GAAGTTACACACCGACTCAACATTAATTTTAGTGACCTCTGACTGGCGAAGTCGGGAGTCATTAGTGTCGACGTGAATAACAACCTTACTGTATTTACGCTTATTCTTAGTTAGCAGCTTCAAGTAGGATTCAATGTCGCCCGCTCTGGCCCCAGGAAAACATTTGACTATGGCCGCCGGTGTCTCTAGCTTCATGTTTCTGACTATGGAGTCTCCAGTTACCAGAGTTGTTTTCTCAGCGGGTGTGTCGCTGAGTGGGGGAAATCGATTTGAAACGTGAACAGGCAGGTGATGCTCCGTGGACATTCGTTTGGAGCTACGACTCTTGCGAACTGTCACCCAGCCACCTGTCTGAGATCCCGGCTGCTCGGGCAGCTGTGGGGGGCGGCTAGCTTGGGCTAAGCTACGTCTAGGACGCTCCACACCGGCTACGTGGGCATAGGTAGATGGCCTATTCTCCCTAGTGTGGAGCCGCGCTTCTAAGTCTGTGAGCCTCGCCTCCAATGCTGCTAGCATCTGACATTTATTACAAGTACCATTATCGCTAAAGGAGGCAGAGGAATAACTGAACATGCGACACTCCGAGCAAGAGAAAGGAGGAGAGGAAGAGGGGGAAGCCATTGCTCTCGATTAAGCTACTAGCTTAGCTAGCTTCTAAACTAGCCGACCTAAAGTAGCAAGTTAAATTTGGTAGTTAGCAAGAACTTCTGCAAAACAAGTGCTTTAAGTGGTGCAAGCGTATGTTGTCACTCAAAAATTCAGATGAACCTAGAAAATAGTGAGTTTAATTCCTAAACAATCTGGAAGCAAGCACAACGCAGTGCAAATACAGAAAACAGGAAATGAGTACGGTTTGCCGCAGGAAACGGCAGTCCGTCAAAGGTTCCGCATCTCACAGGACTTTCCGCCATATTACGGTTACTGGTTATACACAGTTTGATTCAGAGAGGTTGTTACTGGTGTAGTTTTCATTGGCATTCTAGATAGAATAGTGACGTAGCTGGACAGTTGTGGACCTGGCCCTCAGAGTTGGAGAAGAGTCACACTGTGTTTGCAAATTGCATGTGCATTTTAAGGAGGATAATAAGGATAACGATAATCACCTTTATTGGCCAAGTATGTTGCACACAAGGAATTTGTTTCCAGTACAGAACCGATGGCTGCGGCGCCACCTCAAACGACGGCTCTAACCATCGGGGGTAAAGGAGGGTTCAGTGTCTTGCCCAAGGACACTTCGACACATGGACTGGAGGCACCAAGATTCGAACGTTCAACCCTCCGGTTGGGAGACGACTGCTCTACCCACTGTCACCTCCCCTATTAAATTAGGATTGAAAATTGGTGCTGCTAATTATGGGGCCCTGAAAGTTTATGACAGCCTGACCTGATACCCCCTCTGTTGGGGACCAAATACTGGTTAAACGTTTAACTTGAATACTGAGCTTCCCTAGGAATGCTCACATTTACATGATCAACTACATTTCAAGGAAATTGTTCAGTGATGAAATAGCCACAGAGATGTGCTTTGGTTAATCCAGCAAACTGCATACCTGGCAAAACAAAATACTTCATTGCATTGATGCCAAAATCATAAGGATCCAATATAGCCACAAAACAGTCATGCTCGTTGATTTGCAACATACCCAAAGTGACCTAATACACCCCAAGTAGCGGTTACTGTAGTACAAATAGGACAGTAAAATGTCTGACGGTTGAC